CACTGAGGGGTTTTGGCCAGGTCCTGGGTCTAGTAAACAGGTGAACAGAAGGTAAAATGGGTTAGCTACAACAGGAATGAGAGTCAAAAGGCTGGTGCTGAACAGTTGATTTGCATTTGCATGGCTCTCAGCAACTTCATTTAAATACAAAAACGTCTCCTAGTCCCAAGGGCAAGGGGTGACAGGGGAACATGGACACACAGCGTTTTTGACCATTCTTGGCAGTGCTCTACAATTTTCCACTCTGACAAAAACCTCTTGCCGATAGCCCTCAATCTCGATGCGCACGGAAGAACTAAGTGTCAATAGCTGTCGAAAATCCCACTTTTCATGCAGTGAGAGATGAAACAAGTTCAGCTAGTTAGGTTAGAAAAAGAAAGAATGTGTTGCCTCCTTTAAAAAGCCACTGTCACTGATAACTCCTCATTTCCATCTTCTGGCTTGAGGCATAAAGGTGTTTGTTGCCTTCTCTTTCCAAACTCTGGTGACTGTAAGGAACTTGCGGGATAGTTGGACTATACTGAGGTAAGGGGAAAATATTACTTATTTATCTTATTTATATTTCTTGTTTCAAACCTAAAATTTAAACTTTCAGAGATGAGAAGTCAATAACTTGTGGGAAGAAAAGAGAGCCCTTTCCATATTTTTCAAATCATACATTTTCTGAATGAAGCTTAGTTAGACTTGTTGGTTTACTTTGCAACTATGTTGAAATGAATTTAATTTCCTAATTGTAAGTATTCTGATGTATGTTTTCTACTATTATGCATTTTGCTAAATGCACGTTTGCTTTTTGTTTCCTGGTACTTTAAATGAGAATTCAGTAAATGATGACAAAAAAACTGACAGAAGAGGCAAATTACGTATACGAAAAAATATCATAATGTGTTATAATTAATATTAATATGTACATATTTAATTTATTGGTTTTGCAGTGTGTGGATACTCACTATATAAAATTTTTGTAGAAATTAAAAGCAATTGTGGTCTAACTTTGGATAATTTCAAACCATTTAGGAGTTTTGCTTCATCGCTGTATTTTGGCAAATGTATGGTAATTTAACCATTAAATCTCTTACAATAAGAGGACATCTCTGGAATAGGAGAAGGTCATTATCAAGCAACTTATCTTATTCTACAAATATTTATAAACATGCAATTATGAATATTCTGAAAACTAAAAAAAGATTATTGTTTTTTCTGAGTACATTAAAGGGCTATTTTGGGTGAAAGTGCAGGGGCCAGAAAGCAGTGAAATATACAGTTGTTTCAAGTCCCAGATACTTAGAATGAATTAATTTATGAGCCGCTTTAATTTGTTAAGTGTGACTTTAAGTCATGATACTTAGATAACAATAAAGATTTGTAAGCTGTAATATGTTTTTTTTTGTTTTTTGTTGTTTTTTTCTGAGAAAAGCAGAAACCACATGTTAACAGTAGATTTACAATGCTCTGCAAAACATATTAAAATGGCTCTATTCTGAATGTATATTTCACAGAAAGCTGACACTTAGAGGATGGCACCTCACGTATTCCTTCTCCTGTTAGCCGGTAATGGAAATGTTAAAGTTCATATTTGTATATGCATTTGTGGCTGAGCTACCCATTGATCACAGTGTTTTTTACAGGTCTAATAGGAACAGCAACAGAAAATAATACAGGTAACACATTCAGATTCACTGCATTATTCAAATTTTGAAGTTTATTGTTGTGATTTCACAGTGTATGCTATCAGAATAACAACAATTTCTAACAATGCCAGGGAAATATAATGAAAATAACCTGTTACGACTGGCTCAAGGTCATAACAACAACGGCAGACCATGCAGGGGTTAAAGTGCATTCAAATTAATATTTATTAACAAAAACAACAATGGATTGTGGATATCAGTATCAGTGGTGTAATGAAAATGCTTGGATGTGTTGTATGAGTGCATATGGAAGTGTTGAAGTGCAAAAACAAAGACAAACTCAAATGTGCAAAAAGGAGGGGAGCTGAGGCCTGGCAACAAACACCACAAGTGTCAATCGGCAGAGTGGACACTGAAGGCGACACAGAAGACAGAGACAGCCAGGTTCAAGTACTATATGCTCCAAATTAGCAAATCAGCAGCACCTGTAAAGGGGAGGAGCACAAAGACAAACAAGACACCTGCAGCCCAGCTTACAAGGCCTAGAGCCGTAACACCCCCACCCTTAAGAAAAGGGCCCCAAAGGGGAACCTTTAAAAATTCAAAAAATAAACAAATTTAAAATGATGGGGCTGGTAATACATTACCGAAGATCTTAGTGTTCAGGAGGCCGCCGTCACATCAGCCTTTGTGTCCCACAGCCATAAGTTTTTGTGCCCATCATGTCCGGTCACTGTTTAGACTGGCAAAAAAAAAATGGTAGGCAGCTAAAACAGGACATGTCCTTAATGCGTCAACACGTTCAAGGCACCTTAAGAAGAAAGAACCCACTTACAAACACAGACCTGACACACAAGTGACCAACCACAGTTCACAGCCAAATCAAAATGGATTCACCCAGTTACCACTCACAAAAGCAATAACCAGTAATCCAACCAGATCTGAACTGATTTTACCCAACACAAAAGGTCACAGCAACAAGTGGTCCACTACCACAAAACGTTGCTCCACAAGTCAGGTAACCGAGCAAGTGACCAACAAATTATGGAGAGCGACACCCACAACACGATCACCCTTAGCATGGTTCAGCACCATACTCAAAGTTACTGCTGTCTCACAGCCAGCAACACCAAAAGGCCATCAACCAAAAATGAGCCGACATCTCCGCAGCACCAAATAGTCACATCATTGCTTCACAAATTTTTCCCAGGATTCTCCTCATCACATGACCAACAAAACACAGAGAGCCACACGCATAACAAACCCAGATCATTCAAACAAAATGTGGACTAACTCCTCCACCATTTCACAGGCACAACCAGGCTCAAAGCACACTTTTTCCTTCCACTCAACTTGAAACTGAAACAAGTCTGTTTGCTGCCCAGACAAACCAGTGACACCCGCCATTAAAGACAGACAAGTTTAGACAAGGTTTGAACACACACCAACCTCAACAAATTTCTAAAAGTGCCGATCACAATTCCACGTGACACTCAAGGCAAGATCATAACTGCTCTTAACACACAGTTTCAAGAAGTTTCAACCATAAAAAACCTCATCTTGATCCATGGTTATAAAAATAGACATCCGACAACATGCACAATAAAAACTACAATAGTGACCACCCGCAGTGAGCGAGCATGACTTCTGCAAAAGGTATTTCCATAGAACATTTCAAAACAATTATTTTACTTTGTTTTGAAATGACCATAATTATTTCTTAAAATGACCAAAGAATACAATGTCTGGATATTTATAGTATTTTTTAAGTGTTTCAGATCATTCTTTTGAACAAACAATAATATAACCTTTTCTCTTAAACATTCACTAAGAAGCTCCGTAATAATGAACATAACTCAACCTCACTTCCACTCAATTCACCTGTTGAGTCCAACCAATGCAACATCAGACCAAAATCTACAGCAACCTACATAGCATCACCTCCTCTCAGTGCAACTTTAACCTCAGTCAGTCCTATGTCACCAGCAACCAACTTCTTCACCCATCAGAATCACCCATTGACAGTCATTATAAGATCACCAGCAGGTTATAGTTGGGCTTCAAATGAAGCAAAACTAAATGTTATGAATAGAAGGTTATGGAAAGATCAGAGAACAGCAGTCTGAAGGAGGAATGGTACATTTCAATCTGCAGCTTATGTTAAAAACCCAGATCTGGTTTTATTAAACTTAATACTGAGCTGAAATTTGCAAATGCTACTTCTGTGCCAGACACTCAAGTTGTAAAAGATGCTCTTGTGAATGCAAGTAATATCCCCATCTTTACCTCCACAATGAATGCATCAAGTGTTGTTGTGAGAAAAGAGAGTATGAATTAAGAAGCTTTTGTGGGAACTTTAGTAACCTGTTTAAAAATATGTTTATTTTTGGTTAAAAAAAATTAAAATTAAAAAATAAATTATTAATAATAATAATAATAATAACAAATATGACTGTTTCAATATCAGCGAAAGGAACGTCAACACAATCAGTAACACATCCAGTTACTCCAGCTACAATTAGCTTGCTTGGTTTATTACTTCCTACAACATTTGAAGTCTTAAAGACTTTTATTGTTTTGTGTGATGATAAAAATATCTTTTCAACAAATAGAAAGTTTGCTGGGTATTTTATTGTACTTTTCACTAAGCTAACTTTACCACCGCTAATTGCTCACCAGACAGACTCCATGACATTAGCATCACAATCATCATATTGCATCCCGTTACCTAGCGATAATATGAATGCAATACAATATGAGGTAACCAGAAGTTAGTATGACTTTACTAAATAGAATACCACTTCTTGATTATGGTTTCTAATCAAGCAGTTTCCGATGTGACTTTACCTCCAGCAAATGCAACATCACCAGTAACCAATGCAACTTTGACAACAGGTAATCTTTTCTAATTGAAAAAAGCAAGTATTAAATTGGAAGATAAATATTAAAAGCACTGTAGATATTTGGCCACACCCTACAGGGAAATTATGAAGTGTTAAAGTTTTAAAAGGTGTTTGTTTATGGTGGTTATAATAACAATATCAATAATAATAATTATAATAATAGTAATAATAATGTAATCTTTTCAATATCAACAACCTAACTAGCTACTCCAGCAACAACTCCAGTGCCACCAGATTCAAAGCTCCAGATGACATTTACACTAGAAGAAACTTTTACCCCGGCTCTGGGAAACCCTGAATCTCCAGAGTTTGTCAGCTTGTCAACAACACTGACTAGTCAAGTAAGCATAACTGATTTTTTTGGTAGTCTCATAATTGAAATATCAAATGAATGAAACTACATCAACATACAATGACAAGATCAGCATGTGTAAAAGAATTAGACTTAACTAAACATTNCAATGCAACATCACCAGTAACCGGCGTGACCCAACCTCCAACCAATGCAACATCACCAGTAACCGGCATGACCCAACCTCCAACCAATGCAACATCATCATTAACCCACAATCCCCCACCTCCAACGACTTTGACAACAGGTGATATTCTTTTCTAATTGATCAAAGCAAGTATTAAATTGGAAGATACATATTAAAAGCACTGTAGATATTTGGCCACACCCTACAGGGAAATTATGAAGTGTTAAAGTTTTAAAAGGTGTTTGTTTATGGTGGTTATAATAACAATATCAATAATAATAATTATAATAATAGTAATAATAATGTAATCTTTTCAATATCAACAACCTAACTAGCTACTCCAGCAACAACTCCAGTGCCACCAGATTCAAAGCTCCAGATGACATTTACACTGGAAGAACCTTTTAACTCGACTCTGGAAATGCCTGGATCTCCAGCGTTTGTCAGCTTGTCAACAACACTAACTACTCGAGTAAGCATAACTGATTTTTTTGTAGTCTCATAATTCAAATATCAATTGAATTAAACTACATCAATATACAATAATCAGCATGTGTAAAAGAATTAGACTTGTTAACAAAACATTCTTTGTGAATATCAACTGTCTCCCCTGACTTACTTCTTTTACTGTTTTTCAATTCTTCAGCTGAATGACATCTTTAGGCAGAGATTCAGGTTTTTTCTGCGAGTTCTGATCAAAGCTTTCAGGTAAATATCAGTATTGGTCAGGAAATTGTTATTAAAGAGGTATGAAAAAGAACTCCAACAAAATTATTTGATGATCATAAACTTTTCAAACATTTTTCTTCTGTTGTGTGACTCTAACCATTGGACAGTGGTGCCCAAATTTTAATTTTATACTAACACATTCAGAATATCAGGTAATGTGTGCTTGTGATGTTTGTTAGAAATGAAAACTACAATAATAATTTCCTTTTTGCAGACAAGGTTCGATTATCGTTG